GAGGATTGCAGAATTAGAAGGACAATTTTGCAAAACTGTCTTATTGAGTTTCGCTTTCATGTATACTCCGTAGAAGATATGGCCCCAAGTCACAGACCAGAGCAAGGATTGAAGGACAACAGTTTCACCGGTGGTTCATAAGCAAGTACAAGGAAAGGCTTGAAGGGACCATACTCCGAGATTCTGGAACTACAGGTGGGATCCGTTCCCCCGTCCCTATAATTAAGCACCACCAAGCATTCTCAAGGCCCAGGCTCTTTGCAACCAGGCTTATGCAACTACAGAATCCATGGATTGTTGAGGCTGGCAGGTGATGAATTATGAGTTGCAGCACGTCGAAGCGTGAAAGGCAGGACGTTGTGGGGTCCAGTCAATTAGGAATGGAAGGGTTTAGGGATTGGAGGGCTGAGCTGCCCTAGCGCTTATAAGCCTGGATAGTGTAGGAGAGGTAGCTTGGGCGCGACTTTGAGATTACCGGGCAGTAAGCAACCAGCAGCTTTTCAAATTGACAGATGTTAGTGCCTATTACTTGGGGTTCCGTGCAAGCAAGATAGAGGACTGTCTTGTCTGGGCACCAAAAGCTTGTGGAGGGGTTGTTTCAAACTCAGCGTGGGAGCCAAGCGCGGCAGGCACAAGACGGTCACCCTGTGATACCTGTGCGTGTTTGAGGACTCTATGGTTGAGCAACCGCTTGCTTCGGCTATGGTGCAGGTTTCTCCTACATAGCCAGGCAACCGCATGCTTGGTGGTCCTCGTTTGTTCTTCCTAGTACGCTTGGTAGTGTAACAGGCGGGTGAGAGGCCTGTGCTCAGTTGCGCACACCTTCATCCAAAAAGAAATACTAGTAGTACTAGTACCAAAAATAGTCGTCGTAGCAGCAGCAGTAGTAGTAGCAATATGACCAGCACCAGCACCAGCACTAGCAGGAGCAGCAGCGGTTGTAGTGGTACATGTCGAGTTTGCTGCTGTGCATGTCTGCTGCACATTTCAGACTTTATAAGGGTAGTTAGATTTCGACGGATCGTGGCATGAGCAGCAGTAGTGTGATTGAAATTCTCCGGTGTACACCCAGACTGAATGTCTTTCCTGGGCAATGAAGCAGAGCGCAAACTGCATAAAGCCCAGCACTTTGGAAAACAAGCAAGCTTGAGACCTTCAACCGGGATACACGATCGCACTTTTACCTGAGCATTGGCATGGGTCTGGCCCAAAGCAGATGTCAAATTTCTGTTGTAGCAGCTGTGAAGCCCTATCGGCTAGACCCTGGACCCTAAACCCCTCAATGCCCCAAATCCTTAAAAACCTCAACCCTCAATCTTAGACCCTCAGCTGCAGTCGTAATCCTCAAGCGTGGCGCGGAAGCCAACTTGTGGACCAGGTCTAGACTTCATGCCATGCAGTTGAGGAGATTTGATTGCAAGGGGTAGGATTCGGGAATTTAGGGCGTGAAGCTGCAGGGTGTGGCACAGCGTTACATCTCCTCGCATGCAGTTGGGTGGTAGGGACACGGCACACGGGCTGAAGGTAAATGTCAGATTTGGAGTTTTTAACGCGCAAGAAATGTAGCTAGAAGAACCGGCAAGTGGCTGACAAGTTAGCAGTACCGTCTTATGGTCAGTAGAACCGATTTGATCTACAGATACTCAGACAGGTGCAAAGAAGTAAGTCAGCCGCCAAGCCCACAGATTTCACTAGCCGCAGTTCAGGTAAAGCGTGATCAGCCCTTTGCCGCTCCCATGAGAAGCCCACGTGGATGTCCATGGGTGGTCTTGAGCAGGTTTGCTTCTAGGGCACCCAAAGCGTATGCCTATGAGCCTACTTTCAGGCAATAATGTTCATGTCTAGGACCGCCAGACATTTCACAGAATTCGAGGGAGCGAGAAACCTACTGATAAAACCACCCACCCTATGAACAATGATTGTGCGTGCTGGACGATTCGACGGTGAGCGCTCCTCCTTTGCTCCGTGGCCACTACCGTTGGCCATTGATACGGCGCCTTGCTGACGTGTCCTGAATATTCTAAAGAGGCGGGCGGGCACCGCAAAGGAACAAAATTCCAAAGCTGCAGAGAGTATGATGTTCGACTTTCCGGCAGTGTGGATTTTAGCGCAACTGAGGTGGGCTGTAAGAATCACATGAGGATTCTGGGTAATATATCTGGGCTCACTTAAAAGGCTTTCGCATCAGCTCAAGGGGCTAGCTGTGCTTTAACCTTGCTTGGCTAGGCCCGGCTGAAACTCAAATCCCTACACTCTATACAGGGTTGTGTTGGCATGATCCCAGGTCATGTCTTGTGTCTCGAAGCTAGCCGCCATTCGGGGTCGGACTGTGTTCATTGCTTTTGTCAAATGTTCTTTAAAACAACAGCCAGCAGTATGAAAAGCAACGGCAGAGCCGTTTAGCGACCAATTGCTCAACCTGCATCCAGAAATTGCACAAGCCCCGAAATTTGTGCAACAAGCGGGCATCTCAATAGTAAGAAGCCTCGCTTCTCTCATCTTCCCATCAGACAGGAATACCCGAGAGTCCAAGCAATTCATTGCACCGCCAACTGAACCTCCAGAGCTTACGCGGTACAAACAAGACATCTTGAAATTGTTCGAGAAGTCAAACAGAGCAGAGACCACGGAGTTGTCGAGCATCCACCAGGACGGAACATTCGGCCAGCTTGAGATGGGTTGGTGTTCTCAGTAATTTGCTACAAAGCTATGCTGTGGAATTCGGTTAGACAACAAAGTTGACATGAATAACTTGACATCGAGCCCAGGGACCTTGGCAGTTGTCAGAAACAAGGGCTCAAAAGCCCCTGCTGCGAATGCGCATGTGTAGCCTCCGGCCTTTAAGGGAATGCAGCGGCATTTGCGTAATTTAGGCTTTGTCATGTCTCGAAAGAGAAGTGCAGGTATGGCCTCTGAGGACATGTAGAAGTCGTAAGTGGTTCGTGAGGGTCGCTATAGAGGTTTGTTTAGGAACTTTTTTTGCAGCTCTCACTTCCAGATGTGGGAGAAAATTATTCCATACTCCGCGCAAAATCCTCAAGGTAGACCTTCTAGCCTCCTTAAATTCCCTATGTGTCGCTACGGTCGCTTGGGGTCCCCCCTTGTTGGAACCAAAGGGGGCATCCTTCCGGCATTCCCAAGTATGCCAACGTTAATGATAATGAAGCTGGGAATCATACAAGCTATATGACTATGATTTATACTTCTATGGTCTGCTCAAAACAGGACACCGCACTTATACCCACCGTATAGCGTGAGCACTGATCTAAGCTGTTTCATATTCTTTTCCTTCGGTAAAAATCAAACGCATCAAGTGGATGCGACCAGTATTCCGAGTAAAGTACAACCCTAAGAGCTCATGTCCAAACCCTACTGATGTTCAGGGCTCCAACTCAGCTAAGAAAGTCAAACCAGCATTCAGTCCCGATTCACTTCGGCCTGCAACAGCAATAGCAGGGACTGCCTTACCGTGTGGAGTTGTTTTCCGAATACGCGCCCTTGAGACCAGAGGAGTATGTGGACGTGATGAGGAGTTCAGGGGGAATTCAGAGGGGTCCATTCGACAAATATTATACAAAGCCAGTGCATCGAGCATTTTATGTTAATTAGGGCCGGATAGCTTGGTGCATGAGGCTTGGAGTGTGCGTCTCTGAAATTAACATGACTTGATCCTTTAGACGCTCAATTCTGAACGATTGGCCCGAAAGCCCGTCGCGGCCTGTGGAGGGCTGCTTAAATGTGGTCGGGGTCCATTCGTCGCACCACTTTCGGGCAGCTAATTCTCATTCACTGAGGCTGTATAGTCCTAAGTACGGTGCAAGCACTCTGTCGGGCTTCCATTGTTTTTGCAGGCTTTACACACCAAGCATTGGAGAAGCACATGTTCTCACAGGTTTGGTCCCACCGGGTTCCCTCTCCTCGCAAAAGATTGATCCAGCATCGAGCCTTGGGGCAAATCGCTTGTGTTCATATCGCGCACTTGGGGTCCAAAAACTACAAACATAACACCGGATTTCCAAAATCAGATGTTGAAGACCTACTCAAACTGATTCAGGACGAAGGCTTTGAACCCCAAACCCTAAGCCCCGACAGTTGGGCTCCTTGTTAGAAATCTTGACATGAGAAATGTTTGAGGCGCCACCTGCGCGCGCCAAACCCAACCCTAACCGCAAACGGGGTTGTACCTCCCTTCCCTTTGGCTCGACTTGAAATTATGATGTTGTGTTGTTGTTGTTGTTGCTGTTGTTGCTGTTGTTGCTGTTGTTGCTGTTGTTGCTGTTGTTGTTGTTGTTGTTGCTGTTGTTGCTGTTGTTGCTGTTGCTGTTGCTGTTGCTGATG